AATCATTAAAAGTCCTTGACTTAGCCTCACCACTTAGGCAGATTTTAACACTTGACGGTTCTAGAAATGAGCAAAATTTTTCAAATGTTTCACTGAACTGTCAAAACTTAGTTTTCCCATTGAACTAGGGTTTCGGGATCTCCGATTCTTATGGTTGGGTTACCGCTAAGACCATTCATTTGTTGTGGAATTTTATTAAGCTCATTCCCCTAACCATTTTGTACAATTTATCTCGTTTCATGCTTTATGTAAACGGATCCGTTAGGTTAATCTTTGACTTCACATAGTCAATCGATATAACACCCACACGAGATAATTTTCTTATTGACATTAAGTCTTCGACATCTATGTCTAGACTTACTATTGCACAAACTACTTTGTGCTTTTCCAATTGTTGATTGATAAATAATCATCATGATGACCATAATTCATTCCACCAAGGAATATCTCTAAGTCATTTAGCTTCATCCACCCCTTTTGTCCAAATTTATAAGCTCAGACTGCATTGTGGATCTAGCTTTGTACTTAGATTATTTTCATGACACAACTCTACCAACCTAAAGTGAACACGTAGGTTACTCGTGGATCTGGCTTTGTACTTGTGGATCTAGCTTTGTACTTGTGGATCTGCATTGTCTAATACTCTATTCAACATGATCAACATTCATCGCTCGAGTTACTCGTAAACATCTTAGTTTGCTCGCTAAAATTCAACATTGAGGCGATTACTATCCGACAAGTACCTCAAGCCTCCAATTATTCAGCATATTTTCGCCGACAAACTAATTATTCTTGAATTCTTAGCTAAGTGTAGATTCAATTTTACATACACTTTAGCTTGAGGTTTTATCGAACACATCGATCCTCTTCAACATACATTTGACATGATGAGATTGTGTCAAACAATTACTTCCGATCTATTAGAAACTTAATCTCCAAAAATACATCGGAATTTCACAAACTTTAAATGTCAAAGTTTATCTTTTTGATATTCATGAACACATCATGATTATATTCAAGATCATCATATTGCCTAGATAAGACTTACAATCATAAAGAGTCTGAAGAACCTTCATAGACTTATTTTGTCATTCAACGAATTTGAAACCATTCGACAAAATTATTTCAGCAAACTTTTCATGCCACTATTTAGGTATTTATACCTTTGGTCCTAACACCCCCACATTTCCAGGTATATGTACGAATGCTTTTGCTTTTTTTATAACTCAAACGGAGTTTCGTAACTACATTCGTGTGGTGCTTGCAATTTTGTCGAAATAATTGCTTCTCACATAAGCATTTAGATTAATAAGAAATATTCACCTACTCAAGAGTGATTATTCCTTTTGACTATGTCATTGAATATCAACATCATCATTATGACTTAAAGCTACAAAAGCTTTATGACAATACTTAGTGCATTCTTATAATATATTTACTACTCGAGTTTGCACAAACTCTTAAATCACATTTACCGGCGTGATTTATCTCGAGAGGACGAGTCAATTAAGCAACCCTTTAATACGATGCTTTTGCCACTTTTCATTTTAACACGATTTTCATATTTGTTGTATGAATCAACTTAGATTCACCAACTTCTAGTGGTAAAATTCACAAATACTAATTTATCATGCCATAAATTAGAACACTCAATAAATAAGACCAATTTATTTATCTTTTCATCAACCAATAGATTACAATTTTACAATAATTGTAAGATGAACTTTGTTAAGGTCTACTTATGCTAAGAATACATCATATTTCAACATAACTTATTTGTCGATGATCATAAAACAATCTAAATTCGGCCTTACTCAATTAATGGTTCGAAAATTAGATTCTTATGGATGTCTTGGGCATGAAGAACATCCACGATCTCCAATATTCATTCTTAGCACACTACCTCGTCATTTCCTTCAACACTTGAAGTCGAGGAATTCCCAAAATACTTCCTTCAATAGTAGGGTTGTAGGACAACATTTATAAGTGGCTATGGGTCAAGTGGCTCTAGTTCTTATCCGCTATAAACGAGGAATTTTAATTAAATATGTACTCGAACCACAACTGAAAGATCGAGCTCTGACAAGTATTAACTTGTCCTCGACACTTTTCACTATCCTTTTACCCCTATTCAGAAGTTAGTTACCTTCGACAAGGTACCCGAGTTTATTACCAACGTAATCGCAAGCCTTGGATTTCTTGGCACTCCATCTTGGTTTGCCATGAAAAGCGTTTTTACGCTTCTTACACGAGCTCGGCTCATTCAAGTTTGCTTTAGCCTCTATCTCGCTCCATTTGGCCATAACTTCGGATTTTCGATTATCTTCTTCTATCCGAAGACGAACTATGAAATCCTCAAATTTCATCTCTTTGCTTTTATCTATGAGATAACTCTTGAAGTCGTTTCACAAAGAAGACAACTTTTCAATTTTAAGTTTCATCTCTTTGAGTTTATCCATGAGATAACTCTTGCAGTCATTCCACAAAGGAGACAACTTTTCAACAATAACCTCCACTGAAAAGGCTTTGTTCATAATCAGTTCCTCGGCCATCATATCATGAAGGATTTGAATCTCTTGAACTTGATTAACCACCAACTTTGTGTCAATCATATCGTACTAAAGGAATTTACTGATAAAAGTTTTTGTGTCGTTATCTTCAATTTTGTATGTTGCTTTCAAAGAGTTCCACAACTCCTTAGACATACTAACCGGGCTATACACATTATATAATGTCTTTTCTAGTCCGTTAAGTATTAGATTTCTACAAAAGAAATCACTATGATGCCAAGCATCCAAGACCATACGTTTTTGGATGTAGTCTCACATTCGGGGCCGATCAAAGAGTCCTCCAAAAGAAAACGAGATAGGGAGAGAGTTGAGAGGTAGAAAAACATCTTTTGTTGCCATCTCTTGAAATCAAAATCATTGAACTTCAGTGTTCTCTCGCCTTGGTCGGGAGCAGCTACCATCGGTTGAGCACTTGAAGAAGACGTTTGGTTTCCTCCGATTGCCATCTTATGAACTCACAAAAATTTCGTCTTAATATTGTAGTATATTTGTATTTTGTGAATATCAAAAGAATTGTTGACATCCGAATTCACCCCGAAAGGAAACCGGGCAAAAGGTAACTCCCAAGAGCCGAACCGACTTTTAAAGCCGGACCAGAGACCCGGTCAAGTGCAAGTGCCGAGTTGAATTCCGGATTTAATTGACCCTGACCATCCGCGAGCCCGGCGTTTGTGTCGTTCAAACATCGGCGCCGACCTAAAGTAGGTGACGGGCTGAAGTAAGGTTTTGGAGGGTCGGAAGAGTGGAATGAGCTCGGGAGCCGACCTGAAGCTTCAGAGCGGTTGCCCTAGACACCAGCGCAGAGCCCGATAATAGCATGATAATGCCACTTGGAGAGTAATCATTGGTGATTGGATAGGGTGTCACAGCCTACAGGTCTATATCCACTAGACAAGACATAAAGCTGGACAGCATTAAATGAGTCCATGTGTGCATTAAATGTCTGACAGGCAATGATGAGGAAAAACTCAAATCGCATTTAAGATCTGTCAGGAAGACGCCGAACTGTTCTGCCAGAGTACTGTACGACAAGATCGGTGAACAGTATCCGAACAGTGTCACATTCAAAGCCACTATAAATAGCAGCCCACTTCATTTATTTCTGGGTTGTTGAATCCCCAACTGTCTAACTCTGTCTACTTTCTCTCTCTAAGCTTGTAAGCAACCCGTGTAAGAATTTGTAAGGATATCGCAAGTGCCGACCTCGTACGAGAGGCCGACCTCGTGATCGATTAATAAAATCGTAATTAAACCGTATTTTTCTGCTTTTTCCCTGTTTCACATTCCTTTTTCTATTTCTTTAACCGTTGATCGGAAACGTCCATCAACAAGAATGAAGAAAACGAAACAAAATCAAAGTCTGAGGCACGTAATAGTTACGTTCTCCTTAAGACGAAATTGCCTCGTAAAATACCCACGGTTAACGGCAAACGCCTCCAAGATACAACGACTTTCGACTTGTATATAACGGTACTTCAAATATACAAGCCTTCAGCGAATACTACTATTTTTTGGAATTCTCAAGACTCAACAGAAAAATCAAAGAATACAATATGCTTTATGAACTTTGAAAATATAATGCAAGAGCTCTTCACTTTTCAAGTTATTAATGATTTCAAGTATCTGGGTATTTATAGATGTAGAGAAACACCTCCAATAGGTTTAAGTGTCAAAAGACACCTTTTGGGACGTGCCCGAAGGAGAACGGATGCATCTAGTGGCCAAAAGAAACCTTATGGTCACCAAGGGTTGCGACTCATTGATTTCCGTAGCCAGTTGCGCGCCCGTGCGTCGCGGGCTCGTACGAGCTCATACGGACTCGGAATCGAGTTCCGTTTTTTCCTACTTGTCACCAACGAGCCTTTCTACAATTCTAACATACATAATGTATAACTATGGCTCGTTTAGTTCGTCCAAACATTTGTCAAAATAAAATGTTTGTGAACCCTACAACCTTTGAGTTATTTAAACACAATTAATTAACATATAACACTTAGAATTAATTTTCATTCACCTTAAAAAGGTCTTGAGAGTTTCTTAAGTCTTCTACTTACGAAAAGTAGAAACATTAAATTGGTAAAAAACTATTTTTTTCTTACATATATATAGTTTGAACTTTGTTAAAATAGAAACAAAATATCAAAGAGTAGTCTTGTATTAGGAGACGAAATTGGTGAGCCAAGATAGACCCAAAATGCAAGAGATCGAGCCCAAAACACAAATGGAAATGCATAAATTCAGGAATTGAGAATAAGAAAATAAAATGACAAAATAAAAGACATGATAAAAGAAAGGTTTTGTTAGTAAATATATGGTCTTCAAACTTCTCAAATATCACAAGCTTACATTCATATATCAAAAATCTCTTCCAACATCTTCAAAAACTAAAACAGTGAGGCTGAAATTTTGAAATGCTATAGAAAATCACTTAAATGGTGCCCTCGTCGAAATTCTTTTCCGGCACCTTTTTCGCATGGACCTTGTCTCATAAATTACATTATTATTTTTCAAGTAAATCTCATCCTCTCTTTTCTCTATCGTTGTCTCTGAAATTACAATATTATTTATCATGTAAATCTCATCCGCTCTTACCCCAATCGTTGTCATTGAACTTACAGTATTATTTGTCAAGTAAATCTCATCCACTCTTGTCTCTATCATCTGGGGACCGTCAAGTAAATGATCATACTGTGGAAAAATAAATAAATAACTATTTTAAGGATCTTCCAAATAAGTAAGAACATCAACAACAACAACAACAACAAAAAAAAAGAAAAAAAAAAAAGTATCTAAATA